TAATAACGGGGTGATTTCTTTTTTAATGATATTTATACTTTTGTTCTTTGTAAATATTTTTAAATAAATAAATGAGGGATGCACCGACACCGATACACTGGTATCAGTAAAAGTTAACCGATACCAGGAAGCAATACCAATGCAGTTGCCTGAAAGTGGCTTCACTGTAACTTGTGTTTTGTGATCATTTCTATTAATATATTTTATTTTTTATCTACCTCACAGTCTTTTCCTGTTGAAAGCAGAGAAGGAAATAAAACCTGTATTCCAATTCATTGCATTTTTTTGTGTACTAGAAGTACCTGTAATCGATATCGGCGAGTATTCAGAACCAAGTATTGTATCGGTTTGGTAAAAAGTGGTATCGGTGCATCCCTAAAATAAATAACATATCAATATGTACATTAAAAGGCACCTAACTGAATAAAGTATCATTTTATTGAAGTAAAAGCTGTTTTATTTTGTTGTAAAGGCTTAATATATACTTTTAAGTGGTTATTTTTAAAAAGCTATTTTTAAATACATAAAATTAGTGTTAAACTTTTTCTAAGTGCTTTAAGTAAGTATGCCTACAATTTCATAATATACTACATGATATATATGTAGATAGACACACTTGCGTGTATTTCAAGAGAATGTATTAAACCACATAATTAATTAAAGTAATATTTTAAGGTTTTTAATGTGTAAAACTTTAACAAATATACATGAAATAGATTGTGTTGTTAGAAATGAAAATTATGTCAACAAATAATAAAGCGAAGATAGAAATAGCACAGATTAAACGTCTCTGGTTGTCGCCACGTCCCGTTTAACCATAGAAGAAGAAAAAGGTGGAGGAAAACGTTCCTTTGGTTGAACAAAATGGAAAGTAATCCTTAAACAAATCATTGACTAAGCTGTTTCTTCTACCGCCGGAGTCGCTCCTCTCACTCAGCAAGCACGTGTGGTTCCCAGTGGGGTTAACCACTCTGGACCACAGCATGTGATACAGGTCTAGCTTTACATCAGATGGTGACGGTACATGGTGAAATGAACACAAACATAGTCAGAACTGTATAGAAGATGATGCACAAAAGCCAAAAAGGGTTTCTTTTCTCTTCTCTTGAGTTTTTTTGTTCTGTAATTCTGAACACAGAGGATGAATCCGGAAAGCTGTTCTTGCCCCATGGATATAGGACGTTTGACTATTTTTATTCATGTGCACACATATGATTGCTCCATAATTTTGGGTGTCCTTTGACACAAAAATTGTATTCATAGATTTACACAGCATCCTTGTTTATCATCTTTTTTTTCTCCTCCTGTTGTGATCACAGAGCACTCTTTGTGTCTCAAATAGGACAACTTAGTTTTTCTCCGTGTGTCTCTTTGTCCCCTGCAGCTACCTTCACCCCGCTCCCCCCTTAACTTTTTTCTTTTCCTGATTTATTAAGCTTTATTCTGCCGATGTGCGTCAGAGCCGGCCAGTAGTCTCGTGAGGCATTGCTCTATTGGAGAGCCGTGCCTCGTGTCTGGACAGCGTCAGACTGTAGCATCCTCAACCAACTCCTTACTCGCCCCCAGCTCTGCTGCCTCTTTTTTCCTGGGACCACAAACCCAGTCAACCTACACATTTGTTTGGGGGGTGGATTGAAGTCTGTCCTTAGCTGCTGAGCGTTCACCAAAATGAGAGGTGCTTTGATTTTAGATTTAGCTAAACTAAAACTGGATTTAAGAACCGGTTTTGTCATCCTGTTCCAACCTTATAAACGTGTTTGATCATCTGCATCTGTTTTAGTGCACTGATATTAGTGCAGTGTGTGTTCTGCTGTGATTCACGGCTAAAGTTGGTCTTCATCATTGCCGTCAGTAATCAGGCATTTGGTTTGAGCACATTACAAAATAAAACACAAATCAAGGCTGTTGGTTGTCGTTATACGTTGGTATAGAATTTAAACCAGTAGCTGATTGGGCTGCAAATGGTGAGTAATTGAAAGCAGTATTCATGAGATGTGCAGGGGTTTGTAATCTATTTACCTGAGTTTTAGGGGATTTAGAACATGTTTTAAATCCTAAAGTCATCATTAGGTTTTCCAGGCATCTGTCTGGAACCTTCCAGAATTTCATTTCCTTAAGTTGAAAAGTGCAAGAAACTGTGACAGCGTTGAGAAGAAGAAGAAGAAGAAGAAGAAGAAGAAGAAGAAGAAGAAAGTATCATTTCTATAGTGCCTCTCAAGATAAAAATCATGAGGCGCTTCACAAAAACAAATAATGTAAAAATAAAAAAAATAATTTAGAAAATGGTTAAAATATATTTAAAATAAGCAAAAATAGACAATTGTGATTAAAAAATGTTAAAAGAGAGAGAGTGAGTGAATAGGAAAGAGGGAAATCAGTGGAGTTGGAGAAGAGTGGGGATTGATTTAAAAAATAATAGCAAATATTGGAAATGAAAAATGGAAGATTTGCAAGTAAAGCAAGATGCATTTAAGAAAGTGTGCGTGTTTGCACAAATGTAACTATTTTGTGCATTTTTTTGACAGTGAAATAGGCCTCTGTCATATTATCACATTCACTGCAGCAACAGTGTTGTACCCACTAAGCTGGTGTGAATCCATTTAAAGATTTGTATTCTTTCTCATAATTTTTACGTCTCCAAATTTTCACCAACCACAGTTCCAGTGAGGTTCTGGCTTTATGTTTACTGCATGCTTTACTATCAAAGAAAACCCTAGAGTTTCTGAATTTAGCTTTTCCAAAGAGACACACTGATTTGTGTTTAAGATGAAAAGTGGGCGTAGCAGCATAAAGAGAATTGCTGCTGTTGCTTTTCATGAACGGCATCTAGATGTTGATTCGCCAAACAAATCTAGACAAAGCATAGCATTAGCAAAAGCGTGCTCTGCAGGTTGGTTTAGCCATGCTCCATTGTAGCCTCAGCAGGTCTGCCATTGGCTTGGCTAAGTTTAGACCCGGCCAATTGCAGCCTTCCATGTTTGTAAAGAGACGTTGAGCGGGTTTAGCACCGGCAGAGCTACGACGGAGCAAAACAACAAAGATGGCGGCTCAGAATGAGTGCTCTTTTGACACGGCTTTGACATCAACGTTGGATGATTCTGACTTGGGCTTTTCTTTGAGACATGTGCAGATAAAGGCTCTTCACTTTAGCAGACAACAGTAGACTCCGCCCCTACGACTCAGCCCTGGGTCGTACGTAGCCATACTAAATACTTATATATTTATAGAAGGGCTTGTCAGGCTAGGTTTTAATCACATTTTTACCAAAGCAGTGAGCTTAGTTTATTTCATTCTAAGTTTTTTTTACATTGCATTCATGCATTGTTGTGTCTGTGAGGTTTTGTTTATGGGACCAGATAATTTTTTGTTTGTTAAAACTCTGATCTCAAATGGTTCTTGTAGAGCTGAGGAAAATAATCTAATAATTGATGCACCAAGATGATGACAAAAACGATTATGAATTATTGAAGAAGCACACCATAATCGATTATAGTGCAAGCAGCTAGCCCGCTAGCATTAGCCGCTATTAGATCTCTAAGCGGTCATTACATGTAGTCTCACACGTCTGCTCGATCAGGAAACTTCTGGGTAAATGTTCTGCTCTAATCTGCATTTGGCTTTGCGGTTTTTATTATTTGGGGACGTTTGATCATGTTTCAGCGAGCTTTTCACCGTGGTTGCTGGCTGGTGTTCTGTTTATCTCACTTGTGTGGCGAGACGGGCCAAACCCCTTCCCTGTGTAGTCAGGAAACTGACACAGAAAGCAGTAGGGCCAAAATACTGCAGTTCATCATCATCATCATCATCATCATCATCATGAATTTGTGACATGGATGATAGTACAATCCACCTAGATGGAATTTTAAATTATTTTACATTAATCATAAATATGTGCGTAAATACAATCATCTCCAGCTCTTAACTGATAGGTGGATGAATGGATAGATATTATTGGATGTTTAGGATTTTTTTTATGCTTTAGTATTTTCTGTATTAAACAGAACTTTATTCATACTTCAATATTTCAAACTAAATAAACTAAGCCAAACATTTATTTTGATGTTAATTATTTCTTACGCCCTGGAACTGCTGCATAAATATCTCTAAAGACATTTAAAGCTATTATATGGATCCATTAGTTATTTTATTAACTACATGGAAGGCAGAATTGGACATATCCAATAGGTTTTCAGTATTTTTTCTTTTAAGATTTTGTTAGCATCTGCAGAACATGTTTTTTCTCACAGCCTAAGATGTTGAATGAGTTAACAGACATTTTTATTACTTTGTTAAATCTTAAATGAGTAAAATGTTTTGCACTTTTACATTTTCCGTAGGACTGTTTTGAATGAAGAGCTTTTGGGGGATGGCATGTTGTGTCTGACACGTTTTTGATTTTAAAAAGCAAATATCTGACGTCTTCTATTTATCGATGAAAACACATCCGTATGAGATAATCGTGATGCATGCTGACATTGAACTGAATTGTGAGACTAGTGGAGATTCACACAGCATGTATCTTGTGGCTCTATGGTGGATGTGCATGGATGACCCAAACATGACGATTCCCGAGTGTGTCATGGCTGCCTCTCAGTCGCCCGGCCGCTGCATTAAAAACAGCCGTCTCTCAACGATGGTCTGGCAAATGGCGTCTTTCCCTGACAACAAAGACAGTAAACAGCAGCACTTAGTGAGCTCTCAAGAACCTAATTGCCTATTAAGCACATTTGAGTCTTCCTTTATCCTCCTGCCTCTGTTGGGGTCTCCCATCCCCTGAGATAAAGCTTCACAGTAAACATAAGTGAGCCTGTCGGAGGCTTCAGCTGAAACCTGCTGCAGCTCTCCCCTCAAAGGAAAAAGCTAAACAAACTCTTTTTGTCTTTGTTCGCTCTTTAAAGTTACAATCTAGACTTACAATCCCTTACACCTTTTTTGTCTCTTCCAATTATTTGCATAGTCACAAGTCCTGCAACCCAGCAGATGTTTTTTTTTATCTGCAGGTTTGACAGATGAGAAAGTGAAGGCCTACCTCTCGCTACACCCGCAGATGCTGGATGAATTTGTGTTGGAGAGTGTGAGTGCAGAGACATTGGACAGATGGCTGAAGAAGAAGACAAGCAGCAGGGCTTCAGGTACAACCTTTAACACACACACACACACACACACACACACACACAAAACCATGCAAACGTGCAGACACTGCAGCAGCTCTCGGGATCGCTGTGACATTCTGATTGGATCAGCAGATTTCAGCTGGCAACACTGATGCAGAACTGTAATTTCTGTAACGCTTTACTTTCTAACTTTTATGATCGCATACTAGCTCCGCAAATGCAGGCTTTATTCTGAAGAACAAAGACTTGGCCAGACTTGAGGCTATCTATTATCCTGGATATTTTTTGCAGAAATAACTTAACATATGTCTTCCTTTAATTGTCCAAACCTGTGATCGGCGAAAGACAGCGAGAGTGAGCAGGCCTGTCCCGTCTTTACCCCCATTGGATGTGTTTGAGGGGCCCGAATTGAGTTTGTGTCGGGCGCTCCGTACACAGCAGACTGTTTCTAAGACCAACCACATCCATCAAGGGCCCACAGGGCTGGCACTCTGCCCAGTCGAGCTGTTGACGTCAGAGACGACCTCCAGAGACATGCAGCCGGCCGAAGGGGGCCCAGGGGAGGGGCGGGGACGGCGTTGGTGGTGGTGAGGAGGTTGTGCTGGCTCAGGGTCTGGGTGTGTTGGAGTAGGAAACTGGCATGAGAGAGATTCGTCACATTTTGGAGCTGCTTTCTCCATGAGGTATTCCATGTTTGTTGTTGCCATACAGAGACACTCGTCCGAGAAAGCGGTCCAAACTGCTTACGGAGTGGGGTGTGGGTGTGTGTGTGTGTGTGTGTGTGTGTGTGTGTGTGTGTGTGTGTGTGTGTGTGTGTGTGTGTGTGTAAGACAGACTGTGTGATTAGTTTGACAGATATTACATGGAGACCATTATCCATTATGTTGATAGATCATGCCGGCATGAAGTCAGAATGAGAAATTTTACAAATGTTATTTTTGGTGAGAGGATGTGTCGTCTGGCCAGAACAATAATATTACGTATCAGAAACATTTTTAAAATTATTATTACTGGTATCTATTAGCTTGGCAAGCCAAACTAAATGAATATATTATTTGTATATTATTTGTTTTGACAGAATTTTGATTTTATGACTTTATTTTTTATAACACATTTCTGTTTTGAGATCATTATGATTTTATGACTTAGTTTTATTTTGTTTTGATCTATGTGAAGCACTTTGTGATTCTATGTCTGTGATAAGTGCTATATAAATAAAGATTACTTACTATTATTTAGTCTGGTAATGCTTCATTGACGGTTCTCGGTTGTAAGGCGGGTTCCACCGTTGTCCTTCAAATAATCTTCATATGCTACTGGACAACGAACAACACGACACACTCACCACAACGGATGAGGCAGTCCGCTATTGCAGAAGGCAAAAATACATAACTTTTCTAAATAAAGGACTTAAATATAACTATCTGCTCCTGACTCTAATAAAGCCCAAGTCTTAATAGTCAAAAGTTGATGTAAAAGCAGTTTCTAACGAGCCGTCGCCATCTTATTCCACTCTGTCACATCATCCCTGATTGGCCCACAAAGCAGATAGAGGGCTGTGATTGCCCCACAAACCAAACTCTCTACTGCTTCTAAAAAAATAAACATGAAAAAATGCATCAATTTAAACCAGCTGTTTCAAAAAGTCCCTGTTGTGACATCACAATTGGGGAAATAAGTATAGAACACCCCACCACCACCTCCCCAGGTTGGAGGTGCAGAGGTTCTACTCCAAACACCTCCCTCATACCAACCAATAACTGCATGGGTGGGGTGGTCAGCTCCAGCTTGTTTTTTTAAAGCAACAGAGCCCTGAAACGGCTCATTCTGGAGGGTACTGAAAATGTCAAGAAAAAAACTGGTGACAACACTTTATGGGAGAGATTTAGTGCAAAAAACTTCATAAACATTTTTTACTGACTGTAGGACTATTACATATTTATAAAACAATACAATAAGTTTCCTTTAAAAGTTTTATTGGATGTCAATATTATTCAAGTTCACATTTCGACTTAAGATGCTCTGAAACGTTATTTTTATAGAAAATGCAGCTCAAATGTTTAATAACACCAAGTGGTTCTGTTTCTGTTCAGGAACATCGCTGGTGTTTCCACATGTGGGTTAAAATAAAATACAACTATAAAGGACACAACTGATTCTCAACAGGAAATGTGATTACTCTCGTACGTCAGCAAATACCATTCACGTTCATTGTCTGAAAGTAGAAACAGCTGATCAGCCATGTTTAATTATCATACAGATGGTTAATATTAGTGGCAGCAGCCATATTTATTTTTCATTTACTCTAATAAGCATCTTTTTGTCTAAAGGGGCAAAACATAAAATGCCAAGAGATCGCATGACGCTATCCTTTCCAAAAATGTGCGTAAAAATGCGGGTTATTTTCTACTGCTAGAATTTGCAAATGCGCCCTGAACAGAACACATGCTGTGCATTAGTGGACTTGCATAGTTTTGTCCTCACAGGAGGATGGATCTCACAAAATACTCCATGTTTAGTACAAGCGTGTCATTGTTGCTGCTAATGTTCACAAAATGGTCTTTCACATTTGTTGCTCATCTGCAAAATTGGATCAAACATGATCCTTGAATACCGAGACGATGGTGAAACAGACTTTAAAGGAAAGTCAGATCAGTGCTGCAGCTGTCTTATAATGCGTGACGTTCTGGGCTGAGCTTTACATTACGTCAGTAAAATCACTAAATCCTCCCCTTCAGTTTAGTTTATGATGACCAGACCGTTTGGCACCACACTGGAGCTTCCTCCCTATGTATACATCCACTCACATTTATAGCAGCTTGTTTCTTGGTTCCTTAAAATCCATGTTTTGGGTTCTAAATTACACTTTTTAAATGATTTCTTTTAGGTATGGACCTGATGTGTTTTTATGAGCGCAGCAGCAGCAGGACTTGTCATCATGTGATCGTCACTCAGATAAACACAGCTTCCTGGAAGCAATCCCTGCAGCCGCTGTTGCTCTCACTTATCATGTGACGGTCCGGACAACAGTGGATTACATAAATCAGTTAGAGCATGTACACACAGGCTCGTGCGAGTGTGTGTGTCTGCAAAATTTATGTTGCAGCAAGTTATTCCAGAAACGGGTTTCCTGTTCAGAGATTTTACTGATCTTAATCTGCTTCTCTTTATGTGTCTCATCAGAACACCTAGATTCTGCTGTCTTTTGGATTTTCATTGTTATTTAGCTTTTTAATACTCAAATATGTGTTTTTTTCCAATCGTTAATACGACTTAATGATCTTAAAGCGTTACAGAACAGATCCGCTGTGCGATCGCCTGAACGTGACTTCCCAGAATCCATCCTGCTGCTGTCGTTTGATCATCACACCTCTCCTGATCAGAGTCCCAGTGGCTATGTTTACTTCACTTTACGCTGCATCACGGGATAATTAAAAGATCCCACACCCTCTGCTGCATTCATCCCCCTTGAAACTCATCAGTGGCCTCTCTAGAACAAACACACACACACACACACACACACACACACACACACACACACACACACACACACACACACACACAATCTGTGTTACTTTGTCAAACTCTACAAAGACTATTTTTGAACAGTTTAGCAAACATTGGCTCTAGTTTTGAATTCATTTTTTCATTGCTTTACTTTTATTAGACATTACTCTCTATGTACAAGCTTTAAAAATAATCAAACATTTTATTATGTTTTTTAAAGTTTTTAATTCTAAAAATATTTTTTTTTAATTTAAAACTTTAAATGCACGCTTGGCAGTTTTGGCCTGCTTTTAGCACCCCCTAGTGTCCATTTAGTAGAACCAAAAGCAAAACTTATGTCCTCACTGTGCGTTTTGTATTTCTAACACCTTCATCTAACTGCTGAAATATGTCCTCAGCCTGCAGGTTGTTTGCAGGAGTGATTAATCAATAAATCAGACAAATCAGCTGTGTTCATGCAGGAAATATGCTCGAATCAGACTGCAGCGTCGGGTATGCCAGCCCCATTTTTTCCAACAGACCAGCACTCTGACCACAGAGGGTGGTGAGGGTCTAAGTGACATTTCATTAACCATCTAAAGGGTCATTTTAGCACATACAGTACTGGCTCAAGAAAATGATAATAATAAAAAAAAGCTAAGCACTTTTCCGCCAGGACAACTGAGGACGAAGGGAATTTCTGAAGAGGGTTCTGCCACTATAGCAGTCCCGCCTTTGGTCCACAATAGTGTATTTACGTTTTAACACATACAAATGTGTTCCTCATTCCTCCACCTCTTTATGCCATCGACCACCTGTTCCTTACATTTTTCTACTACAAATAAAAAAATCTGCTGCACATCTTTGTGCACCTTTTATTGAAGGTTTGTATAGGTGTTCACTTCCTCCTGGAGACATTCTTTGATCTGTCCTGTGTCTCCTCCTCCTCGGTATCTTTGGCACTCTAGTTCTTGGGAATGGTGGTGCTGCTGAAGAACTTAAGAGGAAGTAACATCCTGACCAATCACAGGCTTGCAGTCTCTATTGCTTTCCACAGACAGTATTGTTATATTTGCATCAGGCCTCGCACAGTGTGGTCTTGGTAGAGTCAACAACTCTGAGCTGATGCAGCTACAAGCTAACTGAGCTAACATGAAGCTAACTGTGGTTGGTGGGCCCTTCTGGCCAGAAAACCCCAGATGAGTGACTCTGCTACCTTCGGCCTTCTGGGCTGTAACAGGCTGTAGCAGGCGCACAGATAGGGTGGGGGATGGGGGGGGATCTGTCCCCCCAGATTCAGATCGACCCCGATCCGTCCCCCCAACTAAGGCCAGAAAGAAAACAAAATCAGAGGTTAAGCGCTTGAAGCTCCTTTTTCCAATTACAGTGAATGCACCATGACGTAAACAAACACCGACTCCAGAGGCGCCAAAGTGGGTGCTGCTAGGATGCAGGATGAAGCGAAAAAGGCAAGCTACGATTACTGCGTATTTAAAAAAGACCAACAGTGTAAGTAGGCGGGACCGATCTGT